ACCTTACCCTCGGGTCCAGGTTCTCTCTCTTCAGTACTGTCTGGCTCTGGTGGAGAAGGCGTTCATCCCCCTCCTTTGGGAGATCCTCTGACCTCCTGGTCAGGGCGTCGGGCTTGGCACCTTGCTTCCCGGGTCGGTAGGTGATCTGAAAGTTAAACCGGGATAGGAACTCAGACCAACGGGCTTGTCTTCGGTTTAGTAACTTCGTTGTGGTAAAGTACTCTAGGTTGCGGTGGTCGGTGATTACTTTAATCGGCGAGGAGGCTCCCTCTAACTCCGGGCGCCACTCCTCGAAGCAGCGAATTATAGCCATTAGTTCTTTGTCGTAGATCTCGTAGTTGCACTCAGTCGCTGTGTGCTTCTTCGAGAAGAAAGCAACAGGTCGTAGTATCCTATCGTCCCCTACCTGGGATAACACCCCAGCGGAGACATAGTCAGAGGCGTCTGTCTCGAGGATGACGTTCTTTTCCCAGTCAAACGGGGCTAGTATCGGGGCGGTGCTGAAAGCGGTTTTCAGGCTTTCGAAGGCGTTGCGGCAGTCAGTAGTCCAACAAAACGGGACTCCCTTTTTAGTCAGGCGGTTCAAGGGTGCAGTGATCTTCGAGTAGTCCCGGATAAATCTCCGGTAGAAATTACCGAAACCTAGAAAGGCTTGTACATCGGTTACGCAGGTCGGTGTCTTCCAGTCTCGCACGGTCCGGACTTTCTCAGGGTCCATTCGGATTCCTTCTCGGCCAATAATTAAGCCTAGGAATTTCGTCTCGGTCAAGAAGAATTCGCACTTCGATATCTTGGCATATAGCCTAGCGTTCCTTAGGGCTGCGAGGACTGTTCGGAGGTGTTCCTCGTGCTCGGACCTTGTTCGGCTGTAGATCAGGATATCGTCTAAGTAAGCGGTACAGAACACATCAAGGTATTCTCTCAGCGCGTCATTGATATACCTCTGAAAGGTTGCGGGGGCTCCAGTCATTCCAAAAGGCATGACAAGCGATTCGTATAATCCAAACCGGGTACGGAAGGCGGTCAGGTATTCTTCTCCGGCTCGGATCCGAATATTATTAAACGCGGAAACGATATCGATCTTCGAAAAGTATCGCATGCCGGCCAGGTTGTTAAGGGATTCCTTGATCAATGGTAGCGGGTATCGGTCTTTAATAGTAACGTTATTCAGAGCGCGGTAATCGACACAGAAGCGTAATCCGCCATCGTTCTTCTTAACGAACAACACAGGGGACGCCACAGGGGAGGAGCTTGGTCGGATAAATCCTTTTCGTAGGTTCTCCTCTAATCACTCCTTTAGGGTCTTGAGTTCCTCTCGAGACATCCCGTACAGGGGTCCAAACGGTAGTGTGCTTCCTTCTTTTAACTGGATGTGGTGGTCTCCAGGTCGGTGCGGCGGTAGCTTGTCAGCTTCTTGAGGCGAGAACACGTCAGCGAACTCGGCGATCTCTGGGGGTAAGGCAGGTTCTTGTTCGGTAGGTTCTGTAATCATCTCTTCGATCTGGGCTATCGTGACAGCGAATAGCCTCACATCGCTCCTCCGGGCATACATAGATGCGGCTCTCAATGACACTGGAAAGATATCGCGTTGGCTGAGTGGTCCAGGTGCAGGCTTCAAATGCTGGCGGATTTTCGTAGGAACGGTATGCATAGCAGTGATTTTGGACGAAAGTCCAGGCGTGTTGCAGTGTTGTTGGCAATAAGGGCTATTGAAGCGTAGTGTGTGGCTTCCAAAGCTAACGAGAGGGTCGTGTTGTTTTAACCAAGGCATCCCAAGCACGATCGGATAGCTTCCAAGCTGGGTTACGTATAACATCATATTCTTCTGCTCGTGGTCGTTTATCCGCATCCGGCTGCGGACATAGTGTGTGATCTGGCCACTCTCTGCGGGGCGGCCATCGAACACCTCGATCGTAATCGGGTGTGTTAGTCGGTGCATTCTCAGGTCATGGTTCTCGGCCCAGCTTCTGTCGATAAAGGCTTTCCCCTCAGCTCCGCTGTTGAACAAGTTGTGACACGCTTGGAATAGTACGCAGTGCCATCTTCCTCGAAAGACCCCATACTTATATGATCATAGCATTGCGAACGTAGCACGCGAGCTGGCCGCGGAAGTAACTTCGCTACAAGGGTACGTCCAGTACGTTGCGCGTTGTAGGCCAGCGATGCCTCATCTAACAAAAGCCAGGACGGGATCATTCATGGCACAGTCGCAACCAAACCAACGGTACGCAGGAGAGCCTAGAAACTAGAAGGACACTAGAAAGGCGGCGGAAAGTAGCTCCTCAGGTACGAAGCAGCGGTTTAGGGGTGCTTCGTCCACGTCCGCGGTATTCGGCTCGCAGGCGGGCATACTTTCCGTGAGTCAAGCTGAGGTACAGTCGTGAGCAAATGCCGCTTCCTATTCACGCACTCTGTCTGTTTATGGAGCCTGGGTCGGATCTATATGTACATGAATCTACCTCAATGAGTCATAATAAGCCGCGCTCGCGCTGCCAGAATAGCCGGGTTTGGATGAGCGCTAGGTACTGCTGGGTCACTCACAGTGGGCTGCAGCCCGCCAATGCGGCGCCATGTGTTACAGTGTCTTTCACACGGCTGAGTACTTTCATTGACCAACAAGACGTAGGGCTCAGTTGGGTACTTCGCCGTTTCAATGGAGTGCACCGTAGGTTACCTACATAATAAACACTGTATGGAGCCATCATGAACTTTCGTGTTATTCGATTGCATAGGAAGCTGCGAATGCTCAAGACTGTACGAGACAGGTTATCTATGGAAATGTCATCACTTCTGCTGCTCTCGACGTCGGATCAAGCGTGATGGCAAGCGCGAGTTTGGCGCTTGATCTCGATGGAGAAGAGGCCGTTCGCAGGAGTATCTCACCGGGCATGCAGCGTATAACGAATCAATATTCGTGAAGCCTGGGCAGCACATTTACCACGAGAGCACGAGAGAACGTTCAGAAACAATAAGAATGAGATTCAGCCCACGTGTAGTCACGCCCGGGAGTCTAGCTACCGAATCAAAATAAATCAAAGACATCAAACTAATCAGCAAACCTAACCACTGTACCTCACTATCCTATACAATCGACCGCCACCTGAATTGCAGCGTCGACGCACTGTCGGCGAGTTTGACCATCGGCAACCCATATAGCTCGATTTGTCTAGTTGTCCTGGGCATCCTTGCCCTCGACCTCCACAGTGTCAAGAGCCAAGCCCGGAGATAGCGATCGAGACTCGCTCTTGCGTTGTCCCAGTATCCATTGCTGGTGCCTTTTCGCAAGCTGGGCAGCGGTCTCAACAGGGTGGAACCCAATCACTTATAATAGAAACGCAGTACGGCAATGAATCATTCTTATCATCGCCTCGTCCTCACCATCCGGAATAGTAAATACCATTGCCTCCTTCCCATCACCGCTCTTCAAAGCATGCACCTGGTCCAGAGCAGACTCTGGGCACATTATAGCAGAATCCGTCACCATGCCCATAGGAGGACAGTGTCCCAACGGATAAGGGTTCGAAAGAAGGTCCGAGGGCACCGCAAGGCTTCCCAAGACCGACTGTAGAAAGCTGCCCAGTTTTCCGGCAATGTATGCCTCATGAAGTCTTATCTCGTCCTCTCCACGTTCAAAGTACTCTTGGTACATCCGTCGAAGCCGCATCCGTCGGCATGCGTCCTCGCAGTTCCAAAATCCGTAGTCGAGCACGACGGCCCGGAACGGATTAGTCACATCCATGCGTGTAAATCGCTTGAGCTCCCACACGCTCTGATACCATTCTTTTTACAATGACCATGAAGTCCTTGAAATTGCGCATGTGCAAGATTCGGTCCGCAAGCCCATATTTATTAAACAATTCCACCACTTTAGACTCTACCATGGCATTCCAGAACTCATCAAACGGGCATCGCTCGACAAGCGATCCATAAGCGGAAGCAAGTCGTTGTTCTGATTTGTGGTACAACAGAGCTCATGAGTGGCCTATACAATCTTCGCAAGTCTATTCTGCGGCTGTGGGGCATTGTCAATAG